TCATAAATTTATTAAATTATGCAGAGCTACAGTAGTCATCATCTCTGTTTCTCCATGTGGCAATTACTGACCACATGTTATCTGCCCAGGACTGCTTTAAAAGTGGGAAACACAGAGAGAACTGCACCCCTCATCTCTGTGCTCAGAAGAAGCTATGCTAATGGTGCACTGCTTTGAGGTAGGAATGTGTCTTCTTAAGGACTCAGTTAGTTAGTTAGCTCCGAGGGAACTAAGGGTTTATGGAGCAATGAAAGATGTTTGCCATAGCAGAATTATCTAACGACAGGAGAAAATAAATATTATACCATCTAGATTGGGCAATACCATGCAGACATAAAAAATTTTTCAGAAGCTACATTTGTATAGGCCAATATGAAAATGTACATTCTGAAATGTTTTATAAAAATTAAGGCAAAAAACAATGTATGTATATGCTCATATTTTCTCTTCATGTGTTTATGTCTCTACTGGTCTTTGCGTAAGATGCACTAGAAGGCTACCAATATGTAGACAGTTCACAGAAATAAAATTATAAAGAGATAAGTAGAATTTTTATATCATTAGGCATTTTATAGTAAGATGCCTCTATTTTTTATAAATTTATTTTTGCAATTAATATTTAGTATGATAGTTGCCTTACAATTATAATATCCTTTATCTTTTTCCAGAAAGGCTTATAAAATATAAAGCATAAGATTATTATATACAAATTTTGCATTAAATAAAGCTCATATATTTATGTATATCATATATTATATATAATTTTATACTTATAAATAATGTAAGTATATTCATATAAGTATAAAATTATATATATAATTATATAAGATGAATATCCTAGTACAACAGTAGAAAACACTCAACTTAAAGTGATTTGAATGAAGATCATCCATAAATGAAGAAACCTGTTGACTAAAAGACAGACATGTACTCTTCAAATACTTCGGAATAAAGAAGGGCATGGTCTGTCTGACTGGAGTGTTATATGCATAGGTGTTTGAAAGATCAGGGTCAGGTCTTTTGCTTGACATGCTAAGAACCTCTCCCACGAAGGGAGATCAATCCTGTTGAGTGTATTTGTACTCTGATCCCCCTTATTATTAGCCATTTCCAAGGTATATAAAGAGTAGAAGGAGCACATGAGATCCAAGCAGATGAGTGTACATCATCTTGAAATATCTTTCCATTGATTAGTGATAGCTGCACAAGTTATGTTCCTTCACACAACATGTGTGTGAGTTAAGATAGTCTTGTCTTTTGGCTGTGGTCCCATCCCACTCTCTGAAAAAGACTTTCCTTCACTTCTGTGATGCCACATCCACCTGATTCCATAGTTTCTGGCTATTTCTTCTCTTCATTTGATATCTTCATCTCCTTGTCTGTATTGATTTTCCTTTATGTGGTCACAGGTTTGTCAGTAACTCTAGAGAAGCTGCTGAGGGCCGACACACAGGGGAGAAATGCCTAGAAGAAAAATCCCTGGAAAACAGAGATTTAGGAAAACTGGCAATTACATGTTCCTATCATATTCTTTACTCTCCAGCATTCCCTTCCCCATATTCTAGCTGATGTTATGATTTTTCTGAAATGCAGTCATATTAGGTCGCTACTTAAAACTCTCAACTGATTTGCATTTTCTGAGAATGTAAGCACACCCTGACCTGCACATGACAAGATCTGTCTTGACCCTGTGACCTGTGAATCTCATTGGCCTTAACTTTTAGCACTTGTATACCCTGAAGTCCCAGTGGCACTGAAAATCATGCAGTTTCCCATAACCCTGGGCTCACTTTTTCCTCTGCGGGCGGCTCAGTCGATGCTGTTGCGCAGGCGTGGTTATGTGTCTGCTTGTTAAAGAGCATCACTGCACCTTAGCATAACTGCTCCTTCAGTAACCTGCCCCCATCTCTGCACTTCTGCTGCTGCTGCTGTCACCTTCACTGTTGTTGCGGCCTTCCTGCTGCCCAACAAGAGTACCTCACCCCTGACAGAGTCCCAAGAATACTTGTTGAGTAAATATAAAACTAACGCTGAAGAAATACTATCAAATTCCGATTTCCCACAACCACCCTTCTGTTTAGATTTGCCATTATCACATGAAATTTTCATTTCATATATGTAAGATTCATTATATGTACACATACGCATATACATAGAGCTGTGTGACTGTATAAAGTTAGGTTTCTTGATCATGTCAGTATGGATAAAGTAGAAGAGAAATTTTGTTGCTAGATGTTGAAACTATGTAATCAATTTACTCTCTTGGCCTTTTTCACCGTATAGATTATAACCAGAGCATTTCATTTCATTTTGCAATGCTGGGGACCGAACCTAGCGCAGGGTATGGTGTGTTGTAGACAATCGCTCTACATCTGAGCTCCTACATGTCTTAAATATTTAATGAAAGGAGCATTCTACTTATCCACTCAAGAGCAGAAGAGTTCTTAGTTCTGATTTGAATCATAAATTCAATAAAACCCACAAACTAGCTTTACTTAAAAGTGGGGGTTACAAAGTACATAAATACATTTAAAAACATGAACCATGTTTTGAAATATCTTTTATGAGAGCTGCTTAAAAATGAAAGCAACACAAGAGTATTTGTATAGAGCTTTGGGTTAACAGCTGTGTGTATTAGAAGTTGTCCTAGCCTTTTGACCACATAATGCAAGTGGCAGGTCAACTTTAGGAGACGTTTCTTTCAAATTCTGTTCCCCTTCCCTGCCCCACATCCAAGTCTAAAAACTCAGGCAGGTAGCAGCCTTTTGTGTTGCTGGTTTTGGAGCTTTCAATTCCCTGCTGGTTGACCTTTCTGCTGAATAGACCGGCTTCCCATTGAGACGGAGGCTTGCGTTTGTTCTCTTTCTTGGTATTACATTGAGATAACAGCCAATTCTCTCCTGTTTGAATCATCAGAAGTGGCTTCATTTTTTTTTTCTTATTGGGCTTTTTCTTCTTTGCACTTTGTGATGTACATATCACCCTTCTCCTTCCCACTTCCAAAGAAATAAATAATTTATGTGATCTACTCAGATTTCCAAACAAACCTGAATAAAGAGTGGGAGGCGTGACTGTTTCTCTCAGCACTGCGACCAAGGACTGGACTTCTTGCAGTTTCTGTCTCCTCTCTTTTTTTTTCTTTTTCTCTTCTTTCTCCTCCTCCTCCACCGCCTCCTCTTTCTCCTCCTCCTTTGCTTTTTCTTCTTTTTGTTTTTTCTGTGTAATGGTGTCACAAGTCTGCCAGAAACCTCCTCAGTGATTTTTTCACTATCGGGTGGTTTTCTTTGGGGCTAATAGTAAAACAAAGTGCTCGTTCTAAAAGGAATCTCTCAGTCTTTTTCTACAGAGATGAGTGGGTACATTCTCAATTAGAAACCCAAGCTTCTTCCTGCACTTCAGGGGTCCTACTTAAAGGAGACACAGGATGTCAGAAAGTGCAGTTTCCAAAGCATCTACTAGAAAGATCTGGAGTCTTTCCCTTGGCCGCTCCCTCAAGGTTATATGCCCTTATATTGATAATTATTCTCCAAGGCTTTATAAGGTAGATAAAATTATGTAGTGGTAAATGATGGAAATCACTTCTTCTTGATATAAAATATGAAATTCACTGGAGAGTTGTAGTAGTATTTCTCGTTGTATATTTCAAAAGCATCAGAGTTAAAATTTCTAAGACTATTTGAAAAAAATAAAAGGCAAATCCCTGAGAACTAGTTCAGACCCCTAGAATCAAAATCTCAAAGTTATTTCTGCTGATTTCATTTTGATAATTTCTCTCATTGTGGTTTTCATGTGCATTATTGCTGGAGAATCCCTGGCCAACAGAGCTGAGCAAATCAGGAAATGTAGAAGAGGGTCAGGACAGCTCTGAAAATCTGAGTGTCAGGAATTGTGGCTGGGATTTTGCAATCCTTCTTCTGAAGCTCGTGGGCTTGGCTCAATTAACTTATGTCAAATTACTCAATATTCACGTTTCTAGGAGCCAGAAACATAGTAGCCCATCTTGATTTCCCCAAGCCAAGCAGTGAAGGGGCCCTAAATGGCTCTTTCATCAGCCTGTCCACCATCAAGGCAGAGAATTTCCCAAAGGAAAAACCAACAGTTCACTCCAGAAAAATGGGAAAATGAATCCTAGACTGACTCACTATTGATATTTTTTGCATAAACATAGAGTTTGTAATAAAAAAAAAAAAGAAGGTCAGGCGCAGCTTTCCAGTGAAACCAGTGTCTCAATAAATCTTTGAGTTGATTTAAGTAGCAACAGTAATGATTTTTTTTTCAAATATTCTGCAGGTATTGGCAATTTGTTGAATGGCAATGTTTGATTACATTAAAAGTTTACAGAATTGGTTACAGAATTGAAGAGCCTATTGATAAAAGAACTAAAATAACATGTTTCTTTATTCCTTTCAAAGTACATCTTTGGTTGCTAGATCCAGTGTATATCATTGGGCTGCTTCTCCTTGACGGAAATGTGTGTGAGCAGACAGAGCTCTGGAGAATGTCAAGAAGGGACGATAAAAGTGGGTTTTCTTATATACAGAAGAGCCTCACCTTTTGACAGTGGTGTCCTTCTAACCTTCAACAGTAAATTCATTATAAATTCCATAGAAAAAAATAGGATATCCCATATGTAGCGGGATGTGATGAGTTATACCCTGAAGACTATTGGCCACTTTTCTTAGACCTGGATTAATCTGGTTCAAACAATCAATCTGGCCACTTACTTTACTTAGTCTCAATCTTAGAAGAAATAGAACTTGAAGGTGCTTGAAGCAGAAACGGTTAAGGGAGAATATTTTATAAATTTTTTTCAAAACATGTCTAGTGGCACCTATCAGAATCATTTTTATCCTGCAAGGGCACTGAAAAATCCTTTAAAAAACTGATGTAAATGCAAAAGTTTCCTCCAACCAACTTCTTTTTCCTGTACCTCAGACCTGATATGGCAGCTGTGTTCACCAGCTTTTCATCACTGTGACAAAATACCTGACTCAACCAACTTAAAAGGAAGGAAACTTTATTTTGGTACAAGGTTTCAGAGGTTTCAGTCCATGGCCAAACAACACAGCTTTATACCGCGGCAAGGCAGAAACATCATGGTAGAAGGGCATAAGGTAGAGGAAAGATGCTCACCTTGTGGCAGCCAGGAAGCAGAGAACTGAGAGAATGGGAGCCAGGGAAGAGGCTAGGGACCAGATAGAGTCCCCAAGGGCATGCCTCCACGACCCGTTCTGCCAAGTAAGCCCCACCTTTTAAATCTTTATCACCACCCAATTAAGCCATCAAATTATGAATCCATCAGTGGGCGAGTTCATTCATGAAATTAGAGAGCTCATGAGCCAATCACTTTCCCAAAGCCCTACCTCTGAATACATGAGCATGTCAAGGCTCATTTTAGACCTAAACCATAACAGCAGCAATACAGATGTGTCCTAGACATTACAATCTTAAGTGCCCTACAGAGTTAGCCTATGAATTTTTATCTGACTAAAGATGAATAGAGAAAGGGGTGAGAATTGTATCGTGTTTATGACTGTTCTCTTTTCAGGGTCATAAATTTTTATAAGAGAAATCTATGTCTTTTTTCCTCTGACCTCCAATTATGGTTTTAAAAGTTTATTAAAGCACTCTTTGCACCAGCAAATAACTAACTTCATAAATTTTTTACTTCTGAACCACAATTATAATGTGCTCATTACCATTAAAAAATAATAGAATTTTTATTTCTGCAGACCAGGCAGCACTGAAAATTTTGAAATGAATCTGCACTTCAAAGGGTAAAGCCATCACTGTGGCAGGGTACTTTTCTGGGGTTTTTTTCATCCTTTTTGTTGGTATGATTTATTTCACTGTATTTCCCCCACCAAACTTAATAACTTTAGAGTCATGATTGGCAGTACAATCAGATCAAAGAACATGCTTTTGAAAGGCTCTGATTTGGATTCTGTTCACCATGTTGGTCCACGAAAAGCAAGATGATGAGCTGGCACTTTTCTGAGTTGATTGGATGCTCCATGTTTACTGTACCTGTTTAAGCCCTTGATGAGCACAAGCTTGGAGACATGTGCTTCTCGTGGCATTTTCTGCAGTGACTATGCCAGCCCGGATAGCTCGGCCCCATTGCTATCTGCAGAAAACAACAGGAACTGGGAGTCATGGCAGTGTCACCTGTGATGAGGTTTCAGACTATGCAGATGTTCTTTAACTGCAGCCTTCTGGTGGGTCAGATATGAGGCAAAATTTCCTGTGTAAGCACAGTGCTAGCTCTCAGAGTTCCTTTTCCCAACATTACCCTGTGAGTGCCAACGTACCTTCATCAGGGGAGAAAGTCAGCTTCATAATAAGGGAACGCATACAAGAGGCTGCCCACACACATGTTTTTGAGTATTATTAGTATTTTGAGTATTGAGTATTATTAAGGAGTTGAAGGAAGAGTATGTCCAGAATATTATTCCCACAATAAGTGAATTGGCACACGCGTGCACACACACACACACACACAAAATAAATAAAGTCTGTATTGTCCATGCAACTCATCATGATTTTAACATTTTCTTCCATTTTATATAATGGGTCTACTTTCATTAAATAGACTAACACAATAAGTATTTGATGAATGGTTTCGAAATGACAATTCAGACCAATGGAACCCAAGATTTTAAATTTCGGAGTAAAGCTTTATCACCCATTTTTATTACTAATATAAATCAATTTTTCTGATTTCAAAATATGTGACTTAATTGCAACCAGGCGAGGCTTTGTTCAGATTAAGTGAGGAACTTGCAATTCAACTATTCTTTGTTCTTTGCTAGACTTTCATAAATTTCAGTAACAAAAGTATTAAAATATACTTTATAGTGACCTCAAAGGATGAGTGAATACAGAACATGTAATGTACCAGCCATGGTTTTCAGCTTCACATAACAGAAAAGATTAGAACTATTGTAAACTTCAGGCAAAAAGAAATGATCTTAGGCAATTTCATGGTAAACTAAACCAACAAACCAAAAAATGGAACAATTGTAAGCAATATAAAGAAGTGAATAATTCTGCCAATCTTATTGGAAATGTTAATCATGTAGCTACTTGCCTATAGTCTTTGGCTATGTCAACCTCATGCAGCTCATTCAGTAGTTCCTGACAGATGGCAGCTACGAAAACTACAGAGACAGAACCACCACCACCATCCCCAACAGGCAATCAGTGCAGACTTTGACTAGGGTCAGCGCTTTGGCTTAGGAATTTGAGTGAAGAATTCACAGAAATACTGTGGGAGCAGGGGCTGAAATTTCAATGATGAGAGTAAAGATTAGAGGAGTATGGAAAATCAAATTTGAGTAAAATTATTGTGCAGAAGCAGAAACTGTGAGAAGGAAGATTTATCCTAGTGGCCCGGATCGTAGAAAGCAAAGCTTGGAAGGAAACTAGCTATAAAGATGACGGTCTTTGTAGGTAGCAAGTTGTGGTAATGACAGAGCTGGTGAGTGAAGATCAGAAACAGTTCCTGGCCTTTCTGAAGGCTGATTGGTTGTTCAGCATTTCTGAGTTTGCACAAATGAACGATCTTTAAATAGGGCCATTTCACTTGTGAAGTTGTCAGAGATCGCTGTTCTTTTCAACCAAATGGCCCAACTTTAATAAACAAGGGGAAAAATGACGATCAGTTTAAAAGACAAGAGGGAGCACTAAATATTAGCATAAATTTAAAAGATATGACATGAAAAATCAACATAAGGTTAAGAAGAAAAACATGTACAGAGGTTCATTAAACAAGAACAATTAAAATGTTATATCTAATGAATTATGAAGCAAATTTAATTTTCAGTTTAATGGTGTTTACATTTATTCACTAAATTAACATTTAATTCCAAGCACATATCAGAAACACTGTTATTCTTTGAAATACAAAGATGAATCAAATAGTCTGTATCCTTAATAAAGTAAAGCAGTATCTTTACCTTAACTTTTTGCTCGTAAATTCTGAGTTTCTCTTTATTATTGTTATCTTTATTTATTATTATTTTTATCTTTATTTAGGCAGATTGGTTATGGGAATTTGGGAATGAGTTTCCTATCAGCAATCATGTAATATAATATTTACATATATGTAAACTGTTGGCCTATATTCAGAATTTAAGTGATGACTCTTGGTACTGTCTAGAAATTGAGAAATGACAGATCTGGGTCAGGGATATAGCTCAGGAGCACAGTGCCTGCCTGGCAATCATGAGGTCCTGAGTTCAATTCCCTTACAAAAAAATAAAATAGAAAAAATGCTGGGTCTAGGCCAGCAAACCCTGATAGAGGATGAATGCAAACATGAGAGAAAAGAATTTCTTTGAAGAGGATCGGGACCTCACTGCAATGGAGCCCTAAACTGACCCAAATGTCTAGACTTACTGAGAAACGACGAAGGCGTAGAGCTCTGCTGTGTGCACTTGTGTGTTTTAGGTTAGCAAGGCAGGTAGCAGGGCATGGTGCAGTTTGGCTGAGTAACTAACTTTTATCTGATTGTCCCTTTGGAAACCTCCTTGTTTTTCCCATAAGGCCTATCTCTGCTTTAGCTGGCAAAACATCCAGTCTTCAAGACGGTCCGGCTTGTAGTTAGCAATCTTCTGGTTCCCAAGTCAGCCCTAGCAGACACTGACCCCTTGGGTGTTGCAAAGAACTCCAGAGATAAATGTGATTAGAAGGAAAAGGTTGTTTTTCTGGTTTTGGTTTTTGGTTTTGTTTTTTTCAGTATCAAGAATCAAACTCAAGGCCTTGCACTTGCCAGGCTGGTGCTGTGCCGCTGAGCTACATCCCCAGCTCGGAACAGGTTGTTTTTAATGTTGGTGTTGCTGTATAGATTCATTTAAAGCCTGATCAAGTATCTGCTGTACCTACATCATGACCAAGGAGCTACAGGATGTGGTTAGAAATACAGACCTTTCCTCGCCAACATCTTAAATCCATATTAGTGTGAAGACAGTTTCTCAGAAAAGCATCTTCCCGCATCATAGGCCACTGGGTTTGAATGGAGAAAGTGAAGCAGGGCCCTGGTCCTGTCCGTTCCCAAACTGAAGGAAGAAAAGGGTGGGAAAAGTCTCAGTGACACAAGGTATTGAGAGGACAAAAAAAGAATCATAAATATGGTAATCTTATTTTTGTCTACTTTTACTCATGAAATGTGATTTTTTACACCAAAAATTCATTTATATTATAGAAGATGGAGATAGAAAATGGCTAACATAGCAAAAGATAGCTATTGTACTCACAACACATTGTGGGTTAATTAGCCCCTGCAAGTAGTTTTTGTTTTGTTTTGTTTAATCTCTAGTAAATTATGGTTGAAATTGAGGCTTTTGGAAATCTCAGGGATTCTCACTATATACATCCCTTCATCCTTTTCTTATCAAGGACATCTTAATTTAGTTGGCTGACCAAATTAATCAAATCTGAAAGGATGTGACTGTCTTTTTGAAAGCTGTCCCAGAATCATAAAACAAATGGTTCTTTTCTTCCTGGAAGAAGTTCAGAAAGCCCCTCCCTTTCTGACCAACCCCTTCCCCCAGTGCTCACTGATGGAAAAAGCCAGAAAATGGCTTCGTGACCCTTATTAATAATGACAAGTCATTGTTGATGACTCCCTTGGAGGGCACAGGATGTGGTTAGACCCTTGCTTAAGACACCATTGTTTTATAACATTACCCATGTCCTTGTCAGCTCTGGGTTGTATTACTGCAGTGTGTTCTAATGGGATGCGTCTTTGAAGTTCGCTTGGCAGGCATTTGTATTGTTTCAGCCAGTAATTTTTGTGTATAATATGTCAGAGTAGTATATACCAAGATGATGAATGTGGTTGTTGCCCTTGAAGAGTTCAAATGCCAACAAGGGTCACCAGTTAGTTGATAAAACATCATAAGTTATCCTAAGAGTTATCATGATCTATTGACAAAATTTTAGGCCACATACCTGAGATATCTGGACTGGCCTACACTCATACAGTTGAACTAAACAATTTCCTGCCCCAAAATACAGATTCCGACAGCGATTTCAAACCGTAAGAGCTGGGTTTTTATCAAGTATATCTTTTAGTAGTCCTTTTAAACATGTTCATCAATTTTTCTGTTATATCCATCAAAAATTTTTAAAAAACAGACTCATATATTGGTAATTGGGCTTATTCAAAATTGTGTGCGCGCATAAACTAGTTTCAAATAGACCTAAATTCTACTTTAAATTATTAATACTGTGTATGTTTCACCACAATTGGCAAATGTCTTCATTTGCCTTACAAAAAAATAAAATAGAATAAATGCTGGGTGTAGGCCAGCAAATCCTGATAGAGGATGAATGCAAACATGAGAGAAAAGAATTTCTTTGAGGAGGATCGGGACCTCACTGCAATGGAGCCCTAAACTGACCCAGATGTCTAGACTTACTGAGAAACGACGAAGGCGTAGAGCTCTGCTGTGTGCACTTGTGTGCACATTTTGAGGAATAAAAATTGTAATAGTGAACCATGAGCATTTACCAAGTGCTTCGAATATAACAGGCACTATCCTAAATGCTGTGCGTAGGTACTTATGTAATCATTTCAGCCTATGAGCACTAGAAAAACCATTTGTTTAGCAGACTAAAAATAGAGATAAGGAAGGGCTATGTCCCTAAAGCCAGTGTCAGGACCGCTTTGGATGACTGTGGTTCTAGAGCCCACCATTTATTTAATCCATACACATAAAGCCATGTCCTAGGTGTTGGAGCCACCCTGTGCCTGTTAGAGAAAGGAACTCTCTTTCCGTGGACAGGTTAGAAAAATGAATCCCAATGAGAGGATGCAGCTTTCGTGTTTCACGTCTGATTCTTCCTTTGTCCAGGACTCTTGTGCAATGCACAGAATGTGCAACTCTACATGACAGCCCTAACTTTACCGCCTTCACTATCTATGATTAATTTTACAAACCTCAAGTAAGTTTTACCTGCATACTTTTGAGTCTGGCTTCATACCAGAGTGAAGTAAACATGAAAGTTAATTTTTCTCTTACAAAAGGAGAAATATGACACTCTCAAATGGGCTCAGGTATTGATCGCAGGATAAGTACATCATAAAGACCAAGCAAGACTCAAGGGCAGGAGAAATCCTGGGTACTGAGCACTGATTACTATGCCACAGGCTTCATACATGGCTTTGTTTTGTGTTCACACAAGGCCCCTTGGTAGAGGCCACTATTACCTTTACAAGGATAAGGAAACATTCAATAACGTGAATTATCTTACCCCAGTTTCTATGCTTTGTAAGTAGAGGAGTCTGATTCCAGATCAGACTCTACAGCTATGCTCCTTCTAACCTACGTACTCTAAATTCTAGTGTTGTGACTGGTTGTTAGTCATAAACATGTGCATAAAAATTCACATTCATTCATTTCAAATAGAGTTTCAGTTAAAGCATTATTTGGATGACGAAAATTTCCTACAGAAGATACTACCTGCATTTTTAATAGGTGAGAACTCCAAGAGCTAAACCTCAGGAGTAAGAACCACTCACTTGGCTAATCGGCACCTATTAATTGAGTGCCTGTTAAATGCTAAGCATCCATTTAGTTGTTCGGTTTGCTGAAAGTCAAACCATTGCCCTCATGGGAATCACAGTCTAATAGTGAGGCAACTAACAGGCCTGCTCGTGAGAGTGGTATCTACTTAGGCACTCCCCAAGGTCCACTTTCAGGAGGGGCTCACTTAGTGTATTCACAGAAGAAATGCTCACAGATTGAGTATTTCCTCCATTCTCTTCACTGAATAGTGGGCACTGACCTCATTCCTTTGAGAAGAGAGCAGAGCCTGAGACAAGTATTCAGTGCCTCTAATTTATTGTCCAGGGGAGGAGTTCCTAGGAGTCTGGGGAGGGGAAAAACCAAAATAAAGAAACATTATCAAGATTGTGAGCAAAGGGGACTAGAGTCTACTCCTCTCCAGAAGTATACCACAACCTCAGATACAGGAGGTAAAGGCATCTGTCCTCAGCTCCTGCCCCCTATTTGTCAAGAGCTGTTTCCAGGGGAAGTAAGTCCTCACATATTCTAGGCTCCAAGGTGGACTGAGTGGCTGTGGTCGTGAGACCCTGGGGTAAAGAACCAAGAGTCACAGTCACATGGCTGGCACTTGACATGACAGAATCTGTGGCACCTGTGGCTGGAATCAGAGGTGGATTGACAGAGTAGGTCACAGAGAAGCAGAGGTATAGGCTACAAATCTGTTTTATGCTCCTCAGTGGGCAGCAGCCATGGACAGCTGTTCTTGTTAAAACTAGAGACAGACTGAGGGGGCCAGCAAAGGTGTGTGATACTTAAGGGGTTGAAGCTGGGTTTGCGTCAACTCTCTGCATTTCCATTTCTATCCTGCCCAAAATGGCAAGACTAACTAGTATCTGTCTTATTATCACGAGGCAGACTTAGCAGAGTAAGATAATGTTTTATAGACGTGCCTAGCATATTGTATGTACTCAATCTGTTGGGAAACAGACTCACTGAGAGCTTGGACTGATTGGATAAAATTATTTTTAATGCACTTTTTTCCTTTATTCTCTAATTTATTAATTCACCTCTCTATTTGCTTTTAAAATTCCACTATATGGTCAATTAAGGTTTGCTGAAATAGCCTTGATCCATGGGATATACCTAGTTGGACATAATAAAATTACTGTTGTCTCCCAAAAAAAAAACTGAGCACAGAGGGTTGGGATATTCTTAGTTCTGGGTACATATTGTCAACAATTTCTGTTTTATTTTTCCAGTGCCTTTCCAAAAAACCATGGACAGCATTGCATATCTTACTTTTAGGATTATGAAAATTGGTAGTTATTTTCACGTGACTGCTATGTCACAAGCAGTATTGTGCTTCTCGAATTGGGGAAGGTACTAAAATAAAGATATATATCCACTGCATTTCTCACCCTCAGGAAGCACTCCTGTTATTGAATGAACTGAATGAGAGTAGTTGAAATCTTACAGAAAATGGGAAACTAGGGAGCACTAAATCACATATTTGGCCCCATTTTTTACTTACCCAAGGCCAGTGTAAGAAGCTGAATGGCAAAGGATTCATCTGGGGTTCTGTGAGAGGCAGTGATCTAAATGTGATAGGCACACAGGTGAGCAGGACTGACAGTGAGCAGAGCCATCTCATCAGAGGCAGTGACACACTCGGGCCTTGCCCTGGATGTGCGTGGGAGTTTATGCTGCAGCTGCTCTCGCAGGTGTCCTTGTTCCTCCCGTGAGCTACCACCCAGAATTCATGTCTTTGTATTGGTCCCTTCTGATTCCAAGCTGGCTCTGATTCGCTTTTAACAAATAAAATACAGTAGATGCAATGCTGTGTGAGTGCCAAGGTTAGGTAAGAATCTTTATAGCTCCCCGTAGAGTTTCTTGGATTTCTTGCCCTGGGAAAGTCATAGAGACGTCCATGTTTTGCCCCCATCTGCTAGCCATGCGAGTAAGCCCTCCAGGGTGTCCAACCCATAAGTGCATCTATGACTTGGCTATATCTTCAGATGACAGCCCTGGGAGATCTCTGACCCTCCCTGGATTGCAGTCTCCAGATGGAAGCTGCCCCCACTGGACTCAGTGGGCCCACCGAGCCGTAATTGTTGTGTTGCACTAAGTTTTAGAGTACAGAACTAGAGTACTAGCTCAAAAGTTAATTCAGCTATGTCTTTCCATCAGGAAGATTTTAATTTTGTTCATGGTTGTTACGTGGCATGTCAGAGATTTCATTTTTGTATATTTTTCTTTTTATCTACTATAAGTTGAAAGCTTTTTACCTTTCAGATAGCTTCATGGAATAATATTGCCTTGTACCTGTTTTTCCATGATAATCTTGTCGATGAAATTCTTAATGTCTTGTGCCATGTCTCTTTTATTGGTAAAGCCCTATGAAGTCTTTCTTGAAGGAATGTTTTAAGAGCATAATATGAAATTGAGGAATCACAAAAGAAATTATTAATATGGCAATACAGTTTTCAAAATACTTTAAAAACTAAATCTGTAGGGTAGCAATATATATACTTATTTATATATTTTGTAACAAGACTGATGATGAGTATAATTACTACCACAATTTTCAAGTACAGATTTTTCAAACATGAAGTGAAATTGAATATTAAGACACCCATACTAATTCTCCCATCAGTACTCATGTACTGTATTTGCTTTATCACATATTTATTCATATGATCATGTATTTATCAAACAACTTCAATATTTTTATGCATCCCATTATAATTTTAAGGCAGATTGCAAACTTCCCCCTGGATAATTTAGTTTGTAGATAATTAGCTAGAAGATGAACATGAAATTTCAACATATCTTGCCAGGCTTGCTGACTCATACCTGTAATCCCAGCACGCTGGGAGGCAAACGCAAGATGATTGCAAGTTTAAGCTTAGCTTGGGTGACTTTATGACTGATTAGACCCTGCCTCAGAATAAAAAAAGAGCCTGAAGATTTAGCTCAGCTCAAAGGCTCTGAGTTCAGTCCCCAATGTTGCAACAAATTTTATCCTAAAACAAGGATAGTCTATTATGAAAATAACATTCCTATTACTGGTGTCACAGGTACTCCAGAACTACTATGGCTTGTTGTAAATACTCATAATTGAAATGCCTAACATCAGTTAGAAGTTACTGAAAATAAAGATGTGATTGTTTTTCCCATTCATGAACCTATGCACCCCTCCACTCATCAGGGTCCCAGAGTCTCAGGTCGAGGAGGCCTAATACATTGGTGATGAACCTAGGGCACGCATATCATTTGTTTTTCTTTTAAAACAAAAGATGTTAATGTGTGAGTTGTTTTATTTCTAAACTAAAACCTCAGTATTCAGGTTTAATTGCAGTGTTGCTGCTTTGTGATAAATAAGTGGATTTTGGGTTACAGTTTGAGCACCCTAAAAATTTAATGTGTGAAATGTGCAGATAATCAACAAATAATTTAAGTGAAATGTACAATAAAATATAGACATACTGTAAACTCAAGTTTCAAAATTAAATTCTAATGTTTTCTCCCATAAAATTTTAGTGGCAAAACTAATAAAAACAGCTAGACATATGCAAAAGAATCATTGAAAAGAAAAAGATGTGACATGTATGTTAGTTTTACCAGGATTGTGAACAAGAACCTGCTAAAACATGGGTAACTTAATTAATGATGCTTACCGTCCCCCGGCACTGCAGGGTGAAAGCTGGAAAGCTGAGGTATTCTTAGGGCTGTGCACCTGCGGATGACTGAGAACGATGCTTCTCGCACCTGTTTCAGTTTCTGGGATTCTGGCAGTCCATGTCTTGTAGCCACCTTGATTCACTCACGTGATCATCTTTTCCCTGGGTGTCTTTTTTTTTTAATTTCAATTATACTTATTAATACAATTTAGTTCTACATAGTGATCATACCAATTATAAGGAATTTGTACTTGTATATATCGATTCCTCTTTTTCCCCAATCCCTTCCCCACTTTACCCTCTCTTGCCCTCCTTCATAAAGCTTTGTTTCCATTTTATCCTTGTCATTTTTCCCTTCCTTCCTTTACTCCTCCCCTCTCCTTAGTTTTTCTTTGTTTTGAACAATCCCTTCTTATTTCACAATACCTGTTGTACACTTTGGTCCTTATTTACACTTCCAGTTTTTCACACCAGAGAAACAATGCAATATTTATACATGTATCTCATTCATTTCACTTAAGAGTGTGGTCTCAAGGTGCACCCCTTGTCTTAGAACTATCTCAAGTTTATCCTTGTTTATAGTCGCAATCAGTTTTTTCTCCTTGGTATAACACTGTGGTTGAGATAATAACTATTCCCATAGTCCAGTCTCCCTAGATGTCTTTACATTATCTTCCCTCTCCTCCTGTCTCTATGTCCAAATATCTTCTTCTTACAAGGACACCAGTCATGTGGGACTTAAATATATCTTCTTTGAGGTCACAATTCAGTCCATAACAACCACAGGTCATGCATGCAGAGAAACAAAAATGTAACTGTAAATTAAAACCAAAAATTACTAGAAAAATATTAAATATGTGTGGAATCACATGGATCTGTTCTTAATTTTATGCAACTTTCTTATAGAGCACTAATGTTATACAAGATGCCTATTCATAAGTTTTAGGAACTTTGAAATACAAAAATACAAATATAAATAAGTGATCGCTATCATTTACATTTTAACTGGATGCTGTATTCACTTTAGATGAGTATTGTGTTATAGTAAATTTTAACCAAAAAATTATATTCAAAAAACTATGTTAAGTTTCATAATGTAACTATAAGCAATTAATCAACAAGTTATAACGACCAGGGATATAACCCAGTGGCACAAGCCCCTACCTGAAAAGCATGAGGTCATGAATTTGATCCCCAGTATAAAAAAAATTAACAAGTTATTGAGCAATCTAGAGCACTGTATTCTCTGAGGAAAAGAATATTGTACATATCTTAGGAGCTTAGAGCAAAATGTGGCAGATGAGGTTTATACATGCACACTTAGAAGGAAACAAAGGACACTCATAATTGAGCTAAAATTTCATTTTAAAATTATTTTTATCTCCACTTTAGTGTCCATTTTAATTTTTGCTTTTGATGTTGAACTGGTTAAAAATTCCCTTTGATCTGCAATAATTGCAATATAAGCTATTTAATTTTTCAAAATTCAATACTGATTAGCACTGCCTCTAACCAAAAAATTCATCCAAAATTATTCAGTCAGACGTATGAGACTGCAATTGTTTTGAGCAATATTAAGAAAAGATAAAATACCACATGGAACAATTTTAAGAAATAATCATAATTATCATTGAATGTATGTATTGAGTGGACAGCACAAACAGATCTCTTTGCTGGCAGCTTTGATATTTATGCAATAAACTGTAGCTCTAGCTGCTTTACACTTGACAAAAATTTACTTTAAAAGACTTATAAAGTTTTCTAAAACATTATTTTTCAAATAAGAACCATAATATCAAGAAATTCTTAGATATACCAGGGTAACATGTAGTTCTTTAGAAATATGTATGTGAGCAATTCCTTTACAAATACATTGAGATTCAAAGAAATCCTGATGACATTTGAGTTCAGAGAAGAATCTAAAAATAAAAAGCATTGCTTTGATCCATTAAGTCTTTACTGAGAAGGATTCAATATCTTTAAATCTTAATTTTCTCCTCTTTAAAGTGGTAATATTGAATACTTACTTCCAGGATTGCTTGAGCCTAAATATATGTAAATTTTTTTGTGCAGTGCCTAGCATACAACAGATACTTTTAAAAAGTGACTCCTAATTCCCATGTCCCCTTTTGTCACTTTCATGACCTTAATCTCTTGATGAAGTGACCACCCTTAAAGGAGAGAATTTATAATAAAATGCAAAAATATCATTTTTACCCTAGCAAAATCACTTCAATTCAAGCATTAGAATTTGGAAGAAAAAGTAAAAAATGAACTAAATCATTCCTCCCATCTGTATTTGTGTCTGAGCAGCTTCAGGTGAGCAGGTTTTCTCTTACCTATTCCCTCCTGTAGAACCTTCCAGAAAGCTTCAGCCTGGTGAGAAGGACAGCAGGCTTTCCTGCCGCATGGCATTGCTTGCTAAGGGGGAAAGCCAAGGCCCGCCTGTATAATCCGATTTCATCAACTCACACTAATCACAACTGATAGGAGCAAAATTTAGCCTGGATCCGCTTTACTAATCTAGATTGACATGAGGTAAAAGTAAAGGGACACAAGGGCGCAGGAACAAAGGAATGAGAGCCAACCCTTATTTTCAGCTTGCTTTTCCATCTGGGATTCTAATTTGCTCCCCCTTTGGGAATTCTATTTTTCTTACCTTTATAAACAACTCTTCCCGGTTGTTAGGATACCAGCCTTTCAGGGAGCAGTTGAATCAACAACAGGTGCACAGTGAGGCTTTGGGACAGAAGACAGAGCAATGCCTACACTGCGAAGCTGCGCAGAAGGTACTTCCAGGTACGCACTGCACCTGAGACTATGTATTATTTATTGAAACTGAGCCCTGCATTATCTATGTCCTCTGGGCAGCCCTGGAGTCTGGCGCTCCTAAAATGGATGCCACAGCAGCTAACCTGCAAGGTCGCCTAGATGCTCTTCATTTTCACTATTTTTCTTAATAGTTGTTGAAAGCTAGAGATACCAGGCTTTTCAGTAAAGGTTGGAGAGTAACTGGATATTGCACTTCAACAGCTGGGGGAGGACTACCTTTATGATTTTGGATGTTTCCACGTGGATTCCATTTTTAATTCTTAAGGAAATATTCTACTCTGGATTTGAGGAATATACAGAAGATATACTTGTGGCAACCACTGTCTCTACATACTGTGTGATTATAGTGGTGATCTATTATGTATGTCTTCACATGCTTAAAACCAGGAAGGAGGATGGGTAATCTGAAGATTATTTTCATTATTACTTATGAATTTTGTGTCTGGCAAACCAGAGAACTTTTTGCTTTTGGGTAACAAAAAACATTTGGAATACACTCCACCGAATTTTTCCATGTTGGTGAAATTGTTACTGACCACCTCTGTACTGATGTTGCCATGCTAAAAACACCTAAGGGTAAAAATGTCTCCTGGGTAAGTACACAATGATTTTATATGTCTTCAAAATATTTTTAAAGCACAAACACATAATTTGAGAACTTGAATTCATTTAGTGGTTTCATGTTAGTAGAAGTATTTGGAAAATCTTCAGAAAGCATTTGCCTTAGAGAAATGTATAAATATGTTAGACATCTTTTATCAAGATCATGATGGTGTAAGACAAAAATATGAAGTACAAGACATGTAAACTCTAGGTTTGTTTTGCCATTTTTAAATTGCTTCACTTTTACATACCACACAGAATTTAAAACACATGTATACAAAGTCAGGAGCATAATTTTGAATTCCAGAACCAGTGGTGTAGATTTTGAGTGGAGGTAAGTCAAATTTTAAGGGTAGATTAGGCAGTTTTCATTCTTTGGGGATATTGTCAACATGTTCCTTCCTCCTCCTGCCCCTTTGAAACAAGATAGCAATTGATATCTTAATTTTTTATATGCCTAAGTAATTTCCATCAATCAATAATAAACATGTACACTGAAAGTTTAGTATTTCAGCAACAGCAATGGTGTATTAATCCCAATCAAATTTGACTCTTAAACTTGTTTCTAAGGTAGTTTCTTAACAAAGATTTTAAAACATGTCAGATTGAGCTCAAAATAGCAAGAATTATCTATAAACTCTTTAAAAAAAACTAGGAACTTTACCTCTCTGCTATCATGTTTAGGGAGATTGATATATTAAAGTTAATAAGCAAATAAGTTGCAATCTAATCTCTACCCACAGCTGTGTGCCTGACACCAAATTTTTTTTGCTGGTACCAGCACAAAATAGACAAATACAACTGTATTGACTATAACAATTATTATTAAATTATGATTATAGTTTCCTTAAGGTAACTCAGGAAATATAAATGATTCTTTCTTCTTAAGAAATAATGTTTACTACTTCAATTTGAAATTCACCAATTAGGTCACTCTTAACTCATCTCAGATAACACAGTATTTGCTTGAAAATGGCAATTATGTTTTTTTCTGTTATGGGCAGTCATTGTTTACAGTGCTTCATTAAAAGAAATATATCTTAGTTCAAAACATAATTCCCATGATTGTTTCAGAAAACTAAAGAATCAAGTTTGAGGTTATTAATTTTGGGGGTTATTAATTATTAAAAGAATTCCTTTTGTGATATTATGAGTATCATTGCTTCTTCATTCTGTCCTGTTATGACCCAGGGATATGATTTAGAGGCCAGTGAGTTTGTTTGCCATCAGGGACTAATTCTGATGCCCAGATTAGAGTCACCAACTTTCTTCTGGCATTTAAACACTGAAGAGAAGAGTAGCTTCAAAAGAATATTTCCACTTTTATCTACTTAATTCTCCTAAAAGATTAATTCTCCCAGAGGGGATCCCACCCAGTGGACACACTTGAAACATTTTATAAACTCCGGCTATCATTAGGTTTGGTTTACTTCAGACTCAGTTATACTCATTGTTTATCAAAAACTTAGAAACACATATCTGTAATGTCAAAATACTTCCATTTTCTTAGGTAAAAATTTCACTGTGCATCCCATTCTATTACAAATACCTCTGCATCAGGGTTTGTCAGAAGTAGTAGTTTCAGAGTTTAATCCCTGTTGTATTACAGGGTATGTGACAGTAATTTAATTGGTGTGTGCTGATTGTACAATGAACCAATCATTCATGTTAAAGAATATTCTGAAATCCTTTAATTTGAATACTAAATATGTATGGAGAAGCATTGTCACATGTTGACCATTGCTCTGATTTCCATCAGTTTGGGCAGAAGGGTTCAATGATCATTCCACAAATATATTGCAGGCCTCTCTAGGATGCCTTGGGCACTGAGCAAGCGGCAGTGAATGGGATACTTGGGAGTCTCTGACCTATGCAGCTTGCATCTAAGAAGGGAGACACACAGAAAGCAAGTGCATAAATTATAAGATGACAAAGAAAATAAAACACAGCAGGGATTAGAAAGTACAGGAAATTGAGAGGGGGTGTTGCAAGATGATCAGTCAAGCTTACATGAACAGAAACTTGAAAGTGAGTCAGCTATGAAGAAATACAGGAAGCAGAGTCTCTGGGCAAGTGAGCGTGAAAGTCCTGGGTGGGGTAGGCACATGCTGATAGTGTGTGAGGGATGACAAGGAGGGTAGGGTAGCTGGGCTATCAGTCACACTCTGACTGTCCCATGTCTCTTATATTTATAGTCACCCTTGAGCTCCAGGGGATTGGTCCCAGGATCCTCATGAGTACTAAAATATCTCATAGAAACGGTGTCATATTTGCCTGTAATCTGTGCACATTCTCTTTAATTCATCTCTAGATTACTTACACTGCCTAATACGTCAGGGCTAGGTAAATTGTTATACTATATTACCCAGGGAATAAAAATGAAGAAACGTCTGTACTCATTTAGTATAGCTGCAGTGTCTTTTTCCAGATATTTCTAAGTTCATGGTTAGTTGAATCTTGGGGATATGGAAACCAAAATACTTTACTTCACATTCCAAGACAAACCTAAATTCCTTGTCTCGGTTCTCCGGAGAAGCCTGGTGTATGGTGGCATCATGGGACGTCACACATCAGCACGTGCTAAATAAGGTTGCAGACGTGAGGAGGAGAAGGATAGAGCAATGCAAATATGACTTTCCAGAGACTAATCACACTGCAAACTTGCACATTAGGACCTGATCTGGCTCCTAAGAGTTTAGCAGTTTGTTCATTTTATTTTTAATGTATTGAGACAGAGCAGCATTACTGTGATTTGGGAGTAACAAGTTAGAAAAAATTGTAAACTAATATTAAAGTTACTGTTGAAAAGGGAGATTTAGGGATAAGCATTCAGATTTAGTGAACACAACTCTTCTAATAACAGTTTATCCTTTGTGTTAGGATATAGTTAAAGACATAACAAAACTCTATGTAGAAAACTCTGTATATTCTTTGGCTGTGTTTATGTATAAGAGGAAAACACCTTCTTCTAAGAGTGTGTTTTTTGAGACAAGATCTTATAAACGCTTGCTTGTGACAATTCAATAGACCACTGAAGGATGTATATCTGACTTTACAATGACCTGACCTACTTTGTTGAAAACTCACTTCTTTGAAATACAGAAATAACAGGCTCCACCTGTTAACCCCAGAGATTCCTAACCCTACACAAATGTCTCTTGCTGTTCTTTAAATTCATTGGAGCTGAAAACACTCAGGTGGAACTCATAGTATAATATAACTCTTCTTAATGTATAATATGTTTCACTGGCTTCTCCTTTTTTAAATTATACACCTTAAGAAATAAGTACACTTTAAGGAAATCAAACAATATAAATGAGTACTTAACTTCATTTAATGAAGATTGTTGAGATTGGATAAGAATCCAGAACTTAGGGATTTGCTTTTGATTTCTTGATAGAGATACTTTAAGCAAATATATTGAGTAAAAGTAGACATTACTAGAAATTAGTGAAAAAACTAACATGACTATTAAGCATGCCGCATAGGAGATGGAAAACTGGCTTATTTCTGAAGCGAAAACGAATCCATTACTGTCCCTTAGTCATTGAAATTCGTATGTGCAGGAATCTTTTGTCAACCACAGAAATCTCTCAAATTTGAAAGAATCCCTGTCTCTTTTTCCTACCCTTTCCACTGTCTCATTTGGTGAATTATAATCTGAAGGGCTTAAATTGTGACTTCGCTGGAGATTTATTTCTTGTTGATATACTTCATTTGACATGCAAATTTTGAAGCAACTTCTAGATTACTGGTCTTTTTACATAACAGCAATTTCTGACAATATCCAATTTTGTATTCTTTTTGTGCTATGAATGAATGTCACTGTCATTAGTATACAGGGTTTCCTCTTCTCTCTTCCCTTATTACAATACATTTGGAGGTTTATACTTAACTTTTCCAAGCATCCATACAGCTTTTAGTTTTGTCAACTTTATTCACTGTGCACAGGGAGTCGTAGTGTAGCTATTGATAGAGATATGTAAAATATTTACCTTGCTTATTGCAACTGAGATTCTTTTAGATACACGTAGAAGAAATGGTTTTCTTTTTCTAACACACCCGTACATAATTGTATTCTAAATGGACTAACTCTATGTCTAGACTTAGAAAGTAGAGAGATTATACCAAAATGACTTTAGTGACTATGAATATAGAATGCTTTATGTGGCCAGCCCCAGGCATTAAAAAATAATAATGTGGACCGG